GCGAGGAGAGCACTGCATTTGCAATCAGAGGTAACGGACTTACATCCAGGCTCTGTTATTAGCTAGGCAAGTTCCCTCACTTCTCTGGGCCTCAGTTTCCTCCAATGTAAAAAACAGGCACATGAGCTACCTACCTCACAGGGCTGTCGTGTGGCAAGCACTTTGTAAACCTTAAAGCCCTACACAGATTTAAGGCTTCCTTCTTGTTGTTGATAAACCCCACAGAAACGCCCATGAGGTCCCAGTAATTGTCATGGCCCTTCTCCTGACTTCTGTCTTCTCTCCTGAGTGGGTGTTAGTTTGAAAGAGGGTGAGGATATGGGTGACCCTCAGAGGTCAGCCATGGGAAAGGATATGAGAGCAGGACACAGAAAGCTATCAGAAGGTTGTGAATGAAGGTTACAAATACACCAAGCTAGGAGAAGACCCAATGAATTCTCATATTCGGATGCAACCTCTTCCAAGGGTGCCACTGTGCTCCTTCGTGAAAATGCTTCAGATTTTCCTAAAACCTCGAATCAGTTGGTATGCCAAGGAGGACAGGGCCAGAATATTATAGAATCATAGATATTATAGGATCATAGAGCTGGGGATCATCTGATCCTTTTTTGTGTCATGAATCCCCCTTGGCCATTAGGGTGAAGCCTATGGATTCCCTCCCAAAAATATTTTTAAATGAATAAAATAAAATACATAGGACTACATAATAAATCAAATATATTGAAATATCATATTTTTTTTTCTAAATCATGGACCCCAGTTTAAGAAACTCTGATTTAAACCAACTGATTATTTTACATATTGAGGGAACTGAGGCACACTGAAGGAAAGGTCCTTTTAAGGTTACACAGGTAAGAAGCAGCAAAGGTCAAAGTTTAAACCCAGGTCCTCTGGGTTCTGACTCTAAGTTCAATGCTCTTCTCACTGCATCAGGCTCAGAGGAATGAATTCCAGATGCACAGGAAAGAAGGAGCAAGGGGGAAGATTGAGAGATTATGGGTTGTTCAAAGGCAGATAGATGTGCCCAAGGCCTGAAGAGTATAGTCTCTGCCCAACTGGTCCAAATTAAAGCCCAGCGAGCCCTGGCACCTGCCTTTAATTTAGACCTTTCCAAATTAAAAGATAATAGAAGGACCAAGATGGTCCATACTGTCAAATACACATGGATAGACATAAAAGAAGTCTACTAAGTGAATCACCTTTCTCCACTGAAGTCCTCCTGATACTTCATTGTGATGTGGAGGTGATACTGCTTTCTTAAAGATTCTGCCTGAAGGTGGCAATCAGAATCTCAGACAAAGCAAAAGCGAAAATAGGCCTAATTAAAAGAATTAATCAGGGAAACTACATTTTGCTTAAAGTTATCATAGACAGTGAAGTAATATCAAAAATGTTATAGCAAGTTTCTCTGATAAAGGCCTCATTTCTCAAATATATAGGGAACTGAGTCAAGTTTATGAAAATAAGAGCCATTCCCCAATTGATTGTTGGTGGAGTTATGAATTATTCCAACCATTCTGGAGAACAATTTGGAACTGTGCCCAAAGAGCTATAAACTGTGCATACCCTTTGACCCAACAATACCACTGCTAAGTCTGTAATCCAAAGAGATCAAAGGAAAAGGAGCTGCAATATGTACAAAATATTTATAGCAACTCTTTGTGGTGACAAAGAATTAGAAATTGAGGGGATGCTCATCAATTGGGGAATGACTGAACAAGTTGTGGCATATGATTGTGATGGAGCACTACTATGCTAAAAGAAATGATGGGGGGGTTGAGAAAAAATATGGCAAGATCTATATGAACTGATGCAAAGTGAAGTGAGAAGAACCAGGAGATCATTGTACACAATAACAGCGATGTTATGATAATGCTCAACTGTGAAAGACTTGACTATTTACAATGATCCAAGACAATTCCAAAGGACTCATGATGAAAAAATGCTATCCATTTCCAGAGGGAGAATTGATAAACTCTGATTGTAAATAGAGTACAGTTTTCTCACTTTATTTTTATTTTTTGCAGCATGACTGATATAGAAATGTTCTTACATGATTTCACATGTATAATGGACTACATTTTGCTTGTCTTCTCAGTGGGTGGGGGATGGGTGGGTGGGAGGGAGAGAATTTGGAACTCAAAATGTTAATAAATAAATAAATAACTTAAAAAAAAACATTAAAGGCCCTGCCAGAAGAACACAAGCTCTGGCAAATGGTGGGGATAACCCCACCTAGTCTGTCATCTGAAAAACAGTCTAGCTATTTTCAAGGAGACTCATCACCAAATTGGGCACAGGGTGATATATTTTTTAGCCACAGAAACCCTCAGAGTCAGTCCAAGGCACAGTGGAGTTGGAATCTGTGCAGGTGGAGAAAGGATGCCCACTGTCCTCGTTGTAGGAGACCATTCCACAAAGCAGGGAGCTGCTGTGCCCCTGGGGCAACTTGCCAGCTGCTCCCTGGATCTAAATGAGGGTGCTGGGAAGAGTTCTGACTGACGATGGTCATTTCAGAGGATGGAAACTGACTGGGTGTGGTTCAGGAAGCATAGCTCCCAACAGCTCATGTTTGCCTCAAGTGCACAGAATTTAGTGAGATAGAGGGGGACAAGGGAAGGGAGCAGTGACTCAGTGGCTCTGCCGGAGGCATGAGTCCACATGTCCTTCAGGGAGAGATTTGACTTTGGGAGAGTCAGGAGCTTTGCAGCACAATAAGGCCAGCCAGTTAATGCTGGAAGCAATAGGCCCTTTTATTTGGGGTGTTTAAGGGAAAGCCCAAAAGAGAAAGTCATGAGGCTGCACAGGAAATACCCAAGAGAACCCATGTCAGGGAAGCAGCATGGCTAAGAAGAAAAAAAAGGCAATGCATTTAAAGTCAGATGACCTGAGTTCAAATCCCAACTGTGACCCTAGGCAAATCATTCATCCTCTTTGGATTTCAGTTTTCTCATCTGTAAAATGAGAGATTGGACTTAATGATCTCAAAGATCCCTCCCATCCCTAAACTATGACAACAAAGAAAAGGTATTAGGGTAGCCCACTGACACCCACCTTTGATGATGGATCCAAAACTAATACCTCCAAATTTTGGTAGCCTGCCAACCAACTCCCATTAGGTCTGGGACGGACACCTCCAAAGTGGAGCAGGAAAGATGAAGGGAAGAGATACAATCAGGCATGCCCTCAGACAGCCCCTTGAGTGTTGGTCTTTATGTCACATCAGAAAGACTTCCTTGATGGTCCAAGGACGATCTGCTCCCAGGACGTGGCCTATGTCTGTACTAACCCTTCAGAGGGCCTCTTGGGTCCATGTTCCAGGGAAGTTCCTGAGTTAGAGTAGCTTGCTCAGCTCAGGGGTCGTGGGAGTTCCTGAATCAGATATCCTCCAGTGTTTTATAGAGAAGGAAGGATTTCTCTCAAGCGAATCTAATCAGTTTAGAACAGAGCAGGGAGGCACCAAACAGCACTGGGATGCTGTGGATAGAGTGCTGAACTTGGAGTTAGGAAGACCCGGGTTCAACTCTCACTGTATGTGACTTTGGGCAAATTCATTCACTTCTCTGGGCCTCATCTGTCAAATGAGGGAGTTGGATTTAATGACCTCTAAAGTCCTTTCTAGCTCAAAATCATGAGCCTATGAATCCTGAAGCCTCCAGAAATTAAAAATCCAGAAATGGGGTTGGTGAAAAGAGGGCAGGGGAGGCAAGAGAGGCTGTTTAAAAAAAAGAAAAAGAAAAGAAGAAAGTATAGGACAAAGGGGAATCAGGCAGGAGGAGAGAACACGGTTGGGGAATAGCTGTTAGACAGAAAAAGACTAGATCAGAAAAAAAAATCCATCAGAGGTTCTTCTATACTATAACAGGGAGCTTAGGGAAAAAAAAAGTCAAAAGGAACGGGTTAAGAAAGGAAAGGATTCAAGGCAGAGGAGAGAGAAATTGATGGTAAGTCCTAGTGCATGGTGATCTTGAGTCCTGGCTGTGAAAGTGACCTGGGGCCTCGTGCCCTGGCTCCCTCAACTATTAGAACAACAGGAAAGACCAGGGGTTGAAAGGCTGTTAATCTGGTCGGCATCACTTATGTAAATCGTGGAGCTGAGCTCCTCCTAGTCTGGTTTGGGTACAGAGTGACCCAGGGCACAGGGTGTGTGCGGCTGGGACAGTTGCATGACGCACACACAGATGAAATCACCGATCCTTGAAGCATTCAAGCAGTGCCTGGTCCTGGATTGCTCAAATTGATGAGCAGATAGTACGCAGGTGGGCAGCCCAGAGCAAGTTATTACATTATCAATTCAACAAACATTTCTTAAGTGCTTCCTTTCTGCAGGCCACTGTCCTACATGATGGGGCGTGAGGAGGAGGAGGCAAAAAAACAAAAAATGAAACAGATCCTGTCCTCAAGGACCTTATTTTCCGGAGAGTGAGGAGGTTTGGGTGGTGGGGATGGGATATAACATATATACAAGTACATAAATACAAAGTTTATGACAATTTCAAGTGGGTGCAAGTAGTAATAGGGAGGAAGGGGTGGAGAAAGAGCTAGAAAAAGCTTCTCGTAAGAGATAGCACCTGAACTCCTGATTCTATAAGGCAGAGATGAGAAAGGAGTGCATTCCATGAATGGAGCAGAATCCTGCAAAAACCCAGGGGCAGGAGATGGGAGTGATGTGTTCAGAGAACATCTTTCAAGCTGGTTTGACTGCAATGGAGAATGTGTGCAGAAAAGTAGTATGAAATAAGACCAAATGCTCCAGAGTTATGGATCCTACCAGAGACACCAACTTTACTGAACCAAGCGGACTCTTCAAGCTAGGGAGAAAAAAAAAGGGAACTATTTAAGTCAATCTCTGCCTTGTTTGCTTTTGTTTTCCCCAACTCCTCAGAGCTACATCATTTAGCCTTGAGGGAATACTTTTAACTGAGGACCAACTTCATGCTGACCAAATATTTGAGGAGGAGAGCAATAAACCCAGACCACCAAAAGAAGTCACCATCTTTCTATTTAATCTGATCATCTTGGTCCACAAGAAGTCTAAAAAATGGAGCAAACCAAAAGAACAGATGGTAATGCCTTGCAAACTCTTTCTTTCTGTCAATACACATTTTTGAGAAACACCAGCTTTTTCCTTAAATTTGAAGAATGCTCGATTTTTTCCTAGGACAAAAATGCTATGCTGATGGTCTCCATTTGTCCCAAGAGGAGCTCTGAAGGGACTGAAGAGTTCACAAAGAGGCTGGTGGACAGGAAGACTCGTGACAGTGTCTGTCTCGAAACCCTTATGATCATTCATGTCTGTAGTGCGTGAGTTGGATATTTATGGGCCTTTCCAGCTGATAAGAAATCAATGAAATGTTTTATGGACCCTATTCCACTTCCTTATTATTCTTTTGTTTTGTCTTCAATTGGGATTATTTTATTTCAACTTATTGGTCCATAGTACGAGCTATCTTGACCTCTGGCTTAGAAAGGGCAGCATATTGAGCAAGAGTATACAAAAAAATGTCCTCTGCTAAGAATGGGAGCTCCCTCAAACTCACTATTTAATCATCTCCAAATGCTAGCTGGCTTATGTTGTAGCCTCTTCCTGAATGGATCCTGTAATCATTTCCTTGTATTGGATGTCAGTGACGTTTTCTGGAAAATATATACCCAATTGAAAAGGAGAAAGGTTAAAGGGAGTCGTTTGCATCCTCGTGATGGAAGGCAGCTTTCTATGAGCCTCAGACTCTCTTAGAAAACACACTCCCTGTCTTGGTGTCAGCTCAGTATTGATGATGAGTAAAGGAGAGAGGGGATTGCAAGTCAAAGGTCGTGAAACTGTGAATGCCTCCTAAAGCCGGATGGAGCAAAGATGGTGCTCAACTGGAATACAGGAATTATTTCCCCAAAGGACAGTTTGTAGGATTATAGATTTAAAGCTGGAAGCATTGCTGGGGAAAATCTAATTCAACCCCTTCATTTTATAGATGAGGAAACTGAGACCCAGAGAGGGTAAATTACTTGCCCAAGGTCACATACCAAGCAAAATTTATAAGTGGTCCCATTCAATCAATAAACATGGATTGAGTATCTACTATAAGCCCAGCATTGTGCTATGGGATACAGAGAAGTAAACATAAGACAGAGTCCATGGTCTAACTGAATCATAGAATCTGTGATTAGAGGATGCTAATTAACATATGTGAAAGTATAAGGACTGGACCTAGGTGGCACAGTGGATAGAGCACTGGGCCTGAGTATAATCCTGGTAATAATAACAGCACCTACCTCTTGGGTTTGTTGTGAGGATCAAATAATGTTTGTAAATTGCTTCGCAAATCTTAAAGTCCTAGCTATAATATAATAGAATATATAATAATTTAATATAACAAATATTATTGTTGTTGTTGTTGTTGTTGTTGTTGTTGTTAAACTTATAGCATTTCAGAGTTGGACGTGACCTTAGTGGTCATCTAGGCTAACCTGAAGTAGGTATTTCTCCTGCTACATACCCAAAACATGCCTGGAAATCCTCTAATAAAGGGTTTATTTACAGCCTCCCAAGGCAGCTCTTTATGCTTTTGGAAAGCTCTAATTTGTTAGAAAGGTTTTTTCTTAAGTCGAGCTCCTGGGGCAGCTAGGTGGCGCAGTAGATAGAGCACTGGCCCTGGATTCAGGAGGACCTGAGTTCAAATCCGACCTCAGATACATAACACTTAGTAGCTGTGTGACTCTGGCTAAGTCACTTAACCTCAATTGCCTCACCAAAAAAAAAATAATAATAATGATAATAATTAAGTCAAGCTCCTTGCCTCCCTGTAACTTCTACCCATTGTTCCTGGTTCTGCCATCTGGGCCAAGCAAAGCAGATCTAACACTTGTTCTTTGTCCATTCCTCACGCCTGGAATTCACTCCATCCTTACTTCCAAATCTTAGAATGCCTAGTTTTCTTCAAGACATAATTCAAAAAAAATTTTTCAAAAAACAAAAAAAAAATGTTTTTAATTAAAAATAAATAAATAAATAAAGACACAGTTCAAGTACTAGCTTCCTGATCTCCTAGCAGTAAATGCCCCCACACAAATACTGTGGATTTATTTTTCATAGATCAATATACATTTATCTCTCCCCATAGAATATAAGCTCCTTAAGGGCTTTATCCATTGTGCTACCTAAGTCCTGTCTTTACCCCTTCACATACATTAAGTTATTTTAACTTCACAGTAATCTTGCAAGGTAGCTACTGCAAGTATTCTATTCTCATTTTACAGATGAGGAAATGGAAGCTCAGAGACTAGCCCAGGGTCACAGAGCTAGTAAGGATCAGAGACAGGATTCAAAAACAGTTTTCTCTGATTCCCGTTCTAGTCCCCAAGTTCCTGGAACTTAACCTGTAAGCATGGCAGATGGCCACTTCTTTTGACCCATTTCCAGCTCTCTCTCCTTGTGCGCAGGTTCCAGCTTGTCTTCTTTATATCTAACAGAAACCTGAATTGTTGTCCCTTATTCTCTGACTTGTGGATTTCCCATACAAACAATCATGCATGCACAGAAACAGGAAAGAAAAATACTCAGGTCTACAACGTCTCTTGAATGATTCATTCACTTGGAGAATCCTGAAGAACAGTGTCAATTCCAGACATTAGTATGCAAATTTTAGTCTCTGAGTTCCTAACTCGTGAATGGAAACTAGAGAGTGATTTGGCAAGAATTACTGTGTTTGCAGCATGTAGGGCTCCCCTTGCCCCACTTTAATGAGAGTAGTTGGTTATAGATTAGACTCATTAGTCTTCTACCAACATTGTACCCTTTGAATAGACTGATTAATGGAGGCAGATTAACAGGGCAATTAGATGGCGAAGTGGATAGAGTGTGGGACTCAAGACTTGAGTGCAAATCCTGACTCTGAAGCTTACTAGCTGTGTGCCCATGGGCAAATCAGTTAACCTCTCTGGGCTTCAATTTCTCCATAGGTAAGAGGAAGATAATAATAGCACCTACCTCAGTGTTGTTGGGAGAATCAAATGAGTTAACATATGGAAAGCAGTTTGCAAACCATAAAGCACTATGTAAATATTAACTCATTATTATTCAAAACATTGGGCTGGAAGGGACTTTAAAGATTATTTAATCTAACCTCCCCATTTTATAGATGGAGAAACTGAAGTCCAGAGAGGGGAAGGGCCTTGCCCAAAGTCATAGGACTAGTTGGTAACCAATTCCAGCCATCACCCCAATTGTGACCAGCATTACCCTTCACCAGGACTATGGTCTCTCCAGTCTCTCCTTACTCCAATCCATCTTCCATGCAGATGCCAAGGTGATTTTTCTAAGGCATTTGGTCTGACTATGTCACACATCATGACCCTCTCCTCATTTCAGTGAATTCCTGTGGCTCCCTGTTACCTCTGAAATCAAATATAAACATATTTGTTTGGTGTTTAAAACCCTATCTGACCTTTCGAGTCTTTTTACACGTTCCCCTCCTCTCTGCAGTGTATGTTCCAGCAACAGTGACCTACTTGTGGTTTCTCAAACATCTCTCACCTCCATTCATGCCTTTGTACCAACTGGTCCCCACACCTGGAATGCTCAGACTCCTCACCTCCACCTCTCAGTGTTCCTGAATTCCTTCCAAGACTCAGCTCAAAACCTCCAGTCTGGGTGACCTTTCCTGGTTCCCCCTCCCCCAATGCCTTCTCCTCTTCGACTGCCTTCTCTCTGCTTCATATAGCTTTAGGTACATGTTGACTCCTCTATTAAAATGTATGCTCCTTGGGGGCAGGGGCTCTCTTTTTGCCTTTCTTTGCATCCCCATCATTTAGCACAGTGCCTGGAATATAACAAGTGCCTAATAAATGTTTCTTAACTTTGTTATGCCACTTACTTTGTTATGCCACTGAAAAGGTTCCAGTCACAGGCACAAGCTCAGAGAAGCCATACCCCCCCCCTTTTTTTTTTTTAGGTAATTGGGGTTAAATGACTTTCCCAGGGTCACACAGCTAGTGAGTGTCAAATGTTTGGTCTGAGGCCGGATTTGAACTCGGGTCCTCCTGCCCTCAGGGTGGATGCTCTATCCATTACACCACCTAGCTGCCCCGAGACATCATACCCTTGGGAAGGAAGTGTTGGCAACAAGCCCTGACCAAGCAAAGGAGGGGACTGGACCATTTGATTTCTAAGGTCTCCTTCTAGCTTTAACATCCTGTATTTTTGTGGCCCAAGGTCCCTTCCAGCTCTGGTATCTTCTGGTTCTATGATCCTACAGGAAGAATTTCCAGTACCACAGACATACATACATACATACATACACATACATCTTGGGCATTGTTTGTTTGTAAAGCTTTTATAATTTCTACCCCATTAAACATTTTTTTGCTGATGGGTTGTTCAAGGTAGCTTTGTTAAAGGGACCTAGACAGATGGATACAGACAGAGACAGAGAGACAAAGGGAGAGAGGAGGGACAGAAAAAGAGACAGAGACACACAGAGACAGAGACAAAGAGAGAGGGAAGGAGAGGAAGGAGAGAGAGGGAAAGGAAGAGAGAAGGAGAGAGAGGGAAAGAGAGACAGGGAGGGAGAGGAGGCGAGAAGGGGAGAAAGACAGAGAGAGAAGAAGAGAGGGAGACAGAGATGGAGATGTAGAATTTGTTAAGCATTTATTTATTATGTGCCAGACACTGTGGTAAGTGCTTGAAGATACAGATACAAGCAAGTACAGCTGCATGGTTTGGAGCTGTTCAGAAAGTCACAGTGGAGGCCCGGTTCTAGGCAAGAAAAGATGAAAGCAAATCTATCAGACCCAGGCACCCGAGGGTCTGAGTCCAAGGTTCCAGTGGGAGAGGATGAGGACGGTGGCTGGAATGAAGGGGTGGAGAAGGTGGCCCAAAGAATAAAGAATGAAGATGTCCCTGCCTCATCACCTCATCTTGACCCCTAGGATAGCACAGGACAGGAGGGGTCTCTGGTAGTCTTGGCTATCAGCTTTCTTTTTTCATATCTCTCCTTCCTGTTCCCTGCCACCCTGCAAAACACCAGACAAATGGTGTCACTGTTCTCTCTGGAGTTGGAGTTGATAACTGTGTCCTCCAACAGAGCCAGAGGGCTGATTTAGTATGTGAACCAAGCACCACACACTGTCTCCATTCCCAGGGACCCAAAAGCTCAGAGCGGCAATTGGAGCAGGACTGAGCTGAAGGGTTTGGCCGGTTGTCTGTGGGGGCAGGGATGTGGGCTAAAGGGCTGGGGGTGGGGATCTGCTAGTATTTTTTTAAAGGAGCTAGGAAAAGGTGGGGTGAAAGAGAAAGAAAAAGAAGGGGGAAAGCAGGGGAGATTAGACTTTTTGTACTTGCAGTTACAGAATTACTCCCTGACTTGTTCTCACT